GTTCTCAGGTCAGTGTTCAACTGATCCCTTAGGGGATAGATCAAGATGGGTAGACATGTTAGTCTGTCTGTAGCAGTAGAAAAGAGCAAGGGTCCAGTAGCACCTTAAAGACTAACAAAATATGTGGCGGGGTATGAGCTTTCGTGAGTCACTGCTCACTTCTTCAGATATCATTAGTCTTTACCGTGCTACTGGTCTCTTGCTCTTTTCTACTGATTCCTTAGGGTTGCATCTAAAATAATAGATTCTTGTGGTACCTTAAAGACTAACTAATTTTATTGTGGGCATAAGTTTTTGTGAGCCAGAGCCCCTTTGTTAGGTACATCTAGAATCACATAACTGTTGTAAATGTAACATGATTATTGGGAGGAATGCTTGTGCATGTGACTATTGTGATAGAATCAGATGATGGAGTGTTAATATAGACTGGGTTAATTTAAGGCCAAGGCGAGATATATCCTGGTCATTCTATGATGCATGAACGGGTATGTGCACCGCAGCATGTTTGGTTCTCTAGCTGGTTTTCTAGAAAATATAAAAGTGCACTGGTCCAGATGTGCTGTGCTGGTGTGTTTCTTGTGGGTATCAATTTTCATATAGTCATCAGCTGGGAGAAACCCCCTGTGCTAAGTGTGAGTGGAAAGAACCTTTTAATTAAATAAAAGCTTGGGGGGATTAAATAAGGACAGCCTTTTTATGTTTAGGGGCAGGAGAATTTAATGGAAATAATTTGGTTATTGATCAATGTGTTCAGTCTTTGTTATGTTTAACTATAATTGTTCATAAATGCTTTCCAGCGGTGTCATTTGACATATTGGCTTGACTAAAGATTGACCAGAATAAGTTGGCCATTTGAGGGCGTTAAGTATGAATGAGTACTGTGATGTTTCCATCACATTACCATGAATAAAGCTGTGATTTAAATCCAAAGACTTACTTCAGTAAGTGAGGAGTCTTGCTCTGGGAAAAGACTCCTTGTTTAGGAGAAGAGAGTCACAGGATCCAACCCAATGTTGGTGGGGCATTTTAGACATAGTTTCAGCCACAAAAAGGTTCTTCATCCCATAATTTCACTGAACAGTAGTTGATCTGCTACTATTGAGAATCCAACACTTAATTCTCAATCATTTAGCATCAGATTATTATTTAAAGAATGTATATTTGAAGAACTTAAAAGAGCTTCTCATCTTGGTGGGATTCAACAGAAAAAAATACCCACAGAGAAATGTTTGTGATCATTTTTAAATTTCTAAAACAGGCCCCTTTGAAAACAACCCACAGCAAAATAGTTTGTGAAATATCTTGAGTAAACTTGTTTGCTTGCTTGATAATATGAATAAAATGTTCTTATGTATACACAGATAATCTTTTGTTAATACATAGTTTAAAAGAGGAAATGCCAAGGTAGTAATGAAGGCAGTTAATACTGGACATTTGCAAAATAAAATGGGATTTCTGTGTACAGTTCCTGCATTCTATGTTGTGTAAAATCAAATGGACCTTCCTGAAGTAACACTATACAGAGCAGCTTTACTAAATATGACAGCAGCAAATAAATGTCCTTTGTACTATGTATTTATGTAAATTGGGTGCTAATAAATACTATTTTTCAACATCTTTTGTGTTCTTTTTCTTCCCCTAAATGTGTGTATCAAGTCTATGGACACCATATGAAAAGTCAAGAAGATAGCTGTAATCTTTTATGTGTCACTGCTCTACAGACTTGTGAATGACTTTGTTGCTTGTGTGTGGCTTTTGTGGCATTACTGGGGAGACTAGAAAATTCCAGGCTATTCAGAAATGGGCAAATAATACATACAGTACAGATGATTCCATTTTTTAATGATGGCCATTATGCCTTGTGTGGTTTTTCTTTTTATGCCTGGGGGTATATGAAGTTCAAAAGGGCTTTTAAAAGAAACTCTTTGTAGAAATAAATTGACATAGTTAGGAGAGGGGTTGCTGAAGAGCCTCTCCCACTGTTCCTTTTTCATTTTTTTTAGTGCACATCAAACCTACAAACCCTACCACACATTTTACCCATGGATGTACTTGAAGTACCTTTAGTATCTTCAACTTGTGGTGTCCAAGTGTTTTCCTTTAGATAAATTAAACTACAGTGATACGTGTAATCTTAGTTCATATATACACATCACATTACTTCCTTGGGTGCTTGATGACTGGCAAGCTGGCGAGGCTGTTGAGCTGATACAAGGATATATGAAAGTTCGTCTGACCCATTTGTACATGCAGATTAGGCCTTCATGTTGCCATCATGCATGTGAACCAGCTCATAGTCCTAAAAATAGACCATATTTAATTTCTGGAAGAGATGTCAGGCTAGTGTGCCAGTCATATCAAGAAACAATACTGCCAGAAGCAGTAATGCCCAAAGAGTTTTTCAATGATAAAGGAAATTTTCGCTTAACCACCTGTGAGAAGGGCTGTGTGTATAAACGAAATAGCAATAAACCTGTTCAAAAGTACTTGCAGCTCCATTTGCTTTAGGGGTAAAACTCTGGCATTAAAAAAGATGCTGGGGCTCAGTCTTGTGGACTCTGCCATTAAGCCTGCTTCTGTGAGAAGAGCAGTGTGGAGCAGCTATAACCCCCCTCCCTAATTCCTGGCCTTTTCTTTTCTGCTTCTGATTTAGTGGGTAGGTGATTACTTCTTGGAGGGCTTGCTCTTGTTTCAGTATGAAGGCCAGGACTGCCATTGGCAAGAGGCAGTTTCATCAACCTGTGAACCTCCCGCCACCTGTGGACATTCTAACTGCCGTCAAGCCTGTGAGGGAAACGTGGGACAGGATCAGCCCTGCCCCCTCAGAACTGAGCACTGTTTCTTGCTCCATTCTGAAGTTGGGCAGGTACTTCCAGGGGAAGTGTGTTCTGCACCTGCAGCCCCACATACCTCTGTATCGATATAACTCTGGTATGT